CTCAAATAAATAAATGAATGTTTAAAGAAAAAGACAGAGAAAGCACCTGCATGGAGACACAGTGCCCAACACCTTCTGTTCTTTGCATCACTCTTTTTTTTTTCATTAAAATGAATAAAACCAACATTCACTGGGCCTAACTACACACTATTGTACTGAAGGACAATGTCACATAAGGGTCAACATGAAAGTTTTCAATTCCAATAATTATTGGGCGCTGGGCCTAGTTTTACATTCTACCTAGTCTCCTCTAATTTGCATGTTTTGGTTCTTCACAATCCTGCTGTCCAGAACTAAATCACAAAATCACATCTTGGCTGAGTTACTAACGCATGTCAGTGTGAAGTTTTATCCGTTTCAATTTCAGGAAGACAAAAGTTTGCCTGAATATTTAGAATCCACTGTTGCAAATTTGTCTTTAATTTGTAATGTTAACACAGATAAATTTAAGTATTTAAAAGGAGTAAACTTCTTTTTCAGCCACATTTTCAGCCTCTTGAAATTACAACAAAAGAAATTGTAACAAAAATGTATAAATTATCCAGGGACTATTTACTGTGTCCCTAAATTATGGCATCTTACAATGAATTATACTTTAACAACAGTCATTCTTTATCTAGCAAGGCTGCAATAGAACCACTCTCAAACACTTATAAATCTTCACTTGATTCTTTGAAAACTACGTATTTATATCACTATACTCTGATATACAAATTCAGAATTATTAAGACAGATAATAAAGCACATAAGTCTCAACTCTCAGACTGTATTTAATAATTAGTGGTAAATCAATAAACTAGTCCGTTATATTTATAAGTGATTCTGTAGAATGAGAAAAAACATTTATAGGATAGATCTTTACAGAAGCACACTATTTGTTTTATTTAATTATGATCTACTTTTGACTTTTATTCCAATTTTAAAAAGTTACTTAATGGGACTAGCTCCTGGGCAGTAGGGGCTTGGGTCTGGAGGCTCGGGGCCATCAGAAAGCCATGTGCTCAGAGCTAGGTGGGTCAGTTCGTCCCAGAGGCTAGGCTCAGGTCTGAAGGCTTGGGCCCATCAGCCTACCTGGTGCTCAGAGCTGGAGGGGCCAGCCTGTCCTAGGGGCTGGCTCCCAGGCAGTGGGGCTCAGGTCTGAAGGGCCTAGCCCATCAGCTGACCATGTGCTCTGGCCCATTAGTTGGCCAAGTGCTCAAAGCCAGGAGGGTCAGTTCATCCCAGGGACTAGGCTCAGGTCTGAATGTTTGGACCCATTGGCCTGCCAGCTGTTCAGAGAAGGGGTTGGCTCCCAGGAGGTAGGGTTCAGGTCTGGTGGGGCTCGGAGCTGGAGGTTCTAGCCCATCATGTGGCCACGTGCTCAAAGCCAGGTAAGTCGGTTTGCCCCAGAGGCTAGACTCAGGTATGAAGGCTTGAGCCCATTGGTTGCCAGGTGATCAGAAATGGAGAGGTCAGGTAATTCCAGGGGCGGGGTCCCAAGCAGCAGAGCTTGGGTCAGGTAGCCCAGATACAAGTGGCGCCAGCTGAAGCCCCCAGGCCATCTGGCCATGAAATTTTGAGGGGGAAATGTGATCTTAGAACCAGGATGGGGTGCAGGACAAGCTGGGTTTGGCCACAGCACCAACTAGTTCACATTAGGGCAAGCAGCTGGAACAGAGAAAGAAGGGGCAGACCAGGATGGGTCAGGATACAGTACCCACTGGCATGTGCCCAAGGTGAGATGGACCATGCCAGACTGGACCATAGCATTCACCAGCACACCCAAGAAAGGTGGAGGTATGCAAGCCTAGTAGGAAAGTAGTGGGGACTCCATCGCTGGACCACTGCTCCTGCTGGTGAGTGTGAGAGCTGGGACTAGGGGCAGACCAGGCTGGACAGGGCTACAATACCTGTTGGCCTACATGTGAACTGGGTTACAGGGAGAGCCAAGCTGGGATTACTGTATCCACTGGTACAAGCATAAGGGAAGGTGTGTTGGGCTTTGCCACAGCATTAGCTAGCAAGTGCTGGGACTGGGGGAGAAGTTTGGTCAAGCTAGAATGCAGATCCACCTAGAAAGTGCAAAATCCAAGGCTGGGAGTGGGTACAGTGGGGAAGCTGTGGGCACCTTTCTGATGGGTTGCAACTCCCTGATGGGTTGCGACTCCCACTGGTGACCATGAGAATCAGGACTCTGGGTGGGCTGGGCTGGACAGGCAGTGGTACGTTATAGCATGAGTGTGAACTAGAGGGTAGAGTTGTTTGAGTTAGGCTTCAACACCAATGATGTACAAGAGAGCTGAATGGGATGTAGGACAGACCAGAGCAGTTCACTGCTCATGCTGGCAGGCACAGGAACCAGAGTTGGGGGGGGGGCTGGTTAAGTGGGGGCTGTTGGGGTTCACACTGACTGGACTTCAACTCCCCCTGGTGAACATGTGGGCCAAGCATGTGGTTGGCATGGTTGGGCTGAGCTGCAAGCACCCATTGGCTTGCAGAGGAAGGAGGGCAGAACAAATCAATAAACTACTGCAGTGAAACTTGACAGCAAATTTCTGGGCAAATAGAGACTTTGAGGTGGACTATGTCAGCCAACTGATCTTGTAAGGATTTTCTCATCCTTGGAGCAGTGAAATCAATAGCATCTTAGAACTATTGAAACCACTTGAGCAGAACCCATGGAACATGCTCCACAATGGGGACCCTGGGATGGTTGGGAGGCTGGGCTTGGTCTCTCCTATTGTATCCTCCACTGCCCCAGACACAAGAAGAAGAAAAAGAAAATGTGCAGTTATAAATGATACTGCTTAAAAAAAAAAAAGAAAATGTGCAAACAATGGTCTTGCTGACTTTCCCCTGATTTTGACCTTTCTCATCCTGATCAACTATGTAAACATCATCAAACTTAAAAATTTTAAACTAGAAATTTTTAAAAATTAAAAACCACCATTATGCTAAAAAGGAGGACATATGTATCATTACAATTAACTTTGTAAAATCTATCATACTTTAATTAAATGCTACCAGATGTAGTACCCTGGGATATGGTATTCCTTAGAAAGATCTGATTTTTCCCCTCCCCTACATAATCAAACATCAAATATTTTCTGCATATTTTCAGTATAAAACTTAACTTTTGCTTGTATAATTTCATGAGTGCAAGTTCTTAAGATTCTTGGGATACAGATTTTATACTGCACATCTGAATTAGCTCAACTCATGTCCTGGAGGGAGGTTAGAACTTAACGTATAAACTTCACTTAAACTCTTTAAAAAATTAGACACACTTTGAAAACTGGGGATTGCTTAGTGTAATATTAAAGCTATGTAAATTGAAGATCAAACTGCTCTTTGCTTAAATCACAATGCCAACTTAACATAAGAGTGCCGAAAGTACATTAGTCACATCCACGACCCAACTCCAAGTTTCTGAAGAGTAGACAGTGAAAGTTCTTATTTGTCTTTTACATGAGATTACCTACAGTCTTGACAATTCCACTGTTTTTCAGTTATTGTGCAGTAGCATAATAAAGCTGGTAATTGTTCCATAAGGACAGTTAATACATTCAAAATAAAGCTATATTTTTGTTTTTTTCAGCTCCCTAAGAAAATCATACTCACCTGTGCTAGAGTCAAATCACAAAAGACAACCCTACTTTAACTGATCCAAATTCACTCCATTAGGTTGGAGGCAACATCAGTCTTTTTTTTCCTGTTCAGAAACTAAAGCTGCCTCGTGGTGTTTTAAAATGATCTGCACTACACCTCGCTTCCAAAACAGCAAATGCTCTCTTCAGATTTACTCTCATGGCTCTCCTGCTGCTATAATTTCAGCCTGTTCCACACCCTTAAACAGGACATGTAATGATATCAGTTTTCAACTGTGCTCAATTTTGTTTGTGCAACCGTGTCTTCCCCAGATTTCTAAGATGCTAGATTTACGTTTCTGGAGTTTTTAAAAGCTATAAAATGGAAACAGGCTCAGAGAACAAGCAAGAATTTACTCAAAATGAAAACTACCATAACAGCATCTCAAAAGGCAAATGAATATTCTACAGCCCTTAATAAAAATACCATTACATGGACCTGACACGGTAGCCTAGTGGCTAAAATCCTCACCTTATATGCATCAGTTCTAATCCAGGTAGCCCCAATTCCTATCCAGCTCCTTGCTTGTGACCTGGAAAAGCAGTCAAGGATGACCCAAACCCTTGTGACCCTGCACTTGCGTGGGAGACCCAGAAAGAACTTCCTGGCTCCTGCCTTCGGATCGGCTCAGCTCCAACAGTTGTGGCCACCATTGGATGGAAGATCTTCACTGTCTCTCCTCCTCTCTGCTCTCTGTATATCTAACTTTCCAATAAAAATAAATAAATCTTAAAAAATAAGGACTTCAGGAGAAATTTCATCTCCTAATTCCTACAGGTATGGAAAACAGTAAATATAATTTTTCTTCCAGTCATATTAACATAAAACCTCATACCAAAGGCTTATTTACCTCAGTTGCTTTTGCCTAGGAATGCCACCCATTAGCAGCTAAAATAATAACATGATAAAATGTTGAAATATATATATAACACTCTAAGAACAGTTGTTTCTTCAAATTGCATTCTGGAGACTCTAAATGGCAACACTATATTTGAAAGATACATCTTTGAGAGATAAATGCTTTTAAATGTTCTGTTTTTTTTCCAAAGTACCTTTTGCTTCTTGGATGTTAAACAGATCATTTTTTTTTTTTTTTTGCAGGCCCTAGCTAAAGTGTAAGAATTCAAAAGCAAGAGACTTCCCAACTTTCAAAATATTTCAGAGTGGATATTTTCAGTATTTCTTTTGTTAACTGTAGTGTCTAGTATATTTCACAGGAAAAGTCTTCTCTATGTGTGCTGTAAGATACACACAAAATAGGGTTAACCAACAGAAACACAGTACGAACTCCCAAAAGGAAATAAGCAACACACTCTGGCATTGACACACACAAACAGTGCCTTACTGCACCTGAGTGCTGCTGCTAGGCTTACCTGGTGTGTGGTCAGAGTCTAGGCTCAGGCCTTCGGTGTGGATTCTGTTGCCAATGGCCCAGTCTAGATCATCCTCAGAGTCCTGAGTAAGACTGCAAGTTGTAGTCCAATTTCCTGAAGTTGTTTCAAAATTGCAGCTTCCGGTTACACTTGTATACTGTCCTAGGGGAACAAAAGCATTAAAGTTGCCAGAGATGTCTATTGAATTTGATACTACACTATATTTTGGATGATTTAAAATCAAAATTTGTTTATTCTCATTTTTGGTAAAAAGGTAGATTTGAGACGTTTACATTCACTGACACTATTGAACAGCATAACCTCTTCCAGTAAAAGAACCTACAAGTGGAACATTGAATATTCTCACTTATCCTTTAGTTGTATTGAAAGACTAATTTATACATGATACAACTGTGCCCCTATACGAAAATCAAACCTAACGTTTTGATAATATAGATATTTCAGGTTGAACAAATAGCTTCAGTTATTTGATATTTACTAAGGTCCCTCTATCCACTTTGGTGCTTAAATGTAAAGCTCATTAAGGAAACAAAGACATTTACTAAACAAATGTGTCTAGGAGAAGTAGTAAACTATATAGGACACAAACCAATTACTGGAGCACAATGTGTCACAGCTAGGCTCTAAATAATAAAACAGAAATTCTCTACTAAAAATACTGAAAAATTGTTTAAAGTGCATTATTCACAATAAAAACATTACCTGATAACTGCCATCTACTGCTAGCTATCTGATATCTCATACCCTGATATCTGGTCTTCCATCTTTCTGTTTCTTGAACAGTACATTTTTTTGAGCATTCAGCATAAAAAAAAAAACATGTTACCCACTCAGGAGTAATTACTTGGTGATCTGCTCAGTGTAGGTCAGCTAAGCTTGTCATTCACTTTTCAATGACTTCTAGAAATACAAACTTTGTGATATTCTTCTCAATCATAAATTTGTGACAACTTTTCAATCATAACATTTTTTAAAAACAAAACTATTGTTGAACACATAGATATTCAACCAGAAAGTCTTTGATAAAATGGATACCAAATATATTGTTAACAAAGCTTGTATGTTTTATTTCTTACATCCTTGATAGTATTTTTATAAAGTATCAATGTTTCACTTCTAAGAATTATGGCATCTTATACCTAAAATCCCTATAAATTGTGTACTTTCTTTCATTCATTCCACATGATTATATATTCATTGCTCTATTAATATGCTTATTCAGAAACTTTGTGTCTCTGTTATACTTTTTACTTCAGTCATATATAAGGTAGGAGAAGCTGATTTTATACTATTACGATGTGAATAAAATTGAGAAATTCAGTTCTCCAGCTTTTTAAGCCAATACATCTGCAAACACTCAGAATCTTCCAATGTATAAATTGAGAGGGGTCTTCAAAAGGTTTGTGAAAGGTATACACTCTGAAAAAAAATGCATTGATTTCAAAATGTTTCTGTAAAAAATTTTGTTCTTTTGTTTATTTTAAAGGCAAAGTAACAAACACAGAAAGATGGAAGGATAAATCTCTTCTATTCACTGGCTTCATCTCCAAATGCCTGCAGCATCTGGAATTGGTTTAGGCCAACGGAAGACCCAGGAACTACATCAGTTTTCCTGAATTAGTAGCAAGAAATTAATTACTTGACCCTTGATTGGCTACCTCACTCCACCATCCTCTCTCCGATGAATGCATTAGCAAGAAGCTGAGGCAGCCCTCCAGTCCAGGCACTTTGTTATAGATGTGTACATCCCAAGCAGTAGCTCAACCCACTGCCACACAGTACTGGTCCCAAAATTATCATTCAAGTGCCTTCATACAGATTACATATGCTCATATTGCTTTGTGACCGATTCTCTGACTCATAAGCCAGTGATAATTATTCTACATTCTTTTTCATTCTCTATCACCATCCTTGTCCCTTCTGTCCTACCTTATTTTAATGTGACTTTTTAATAATTTATTTATTTTTATTGGAAAGTCAGATATAAAGAGAGGAGCAGAGACAGAGAGAAACATCTTCCATCTGATGATTCACTCCCCAAATGACCGCAATGGCCACAACTGAGCTAATCCAAAGCCAGGAGCTTCTTCTGGGTCTCCCACGTGGGTGCAGGATGTGGCTTTGGGCCATCCTCAACTGCCTTCCCAGGCTGCAAGCAGGGAGCTGGATGGGAAGTGGGGCCACCAGGATTAGAACCGGTACCCATATGGGATCCCGGTGCGTGTAAGGTGAGGACTTTAACCATTACACTATCGCGCCAGGCCTTTTCTTGATCTTCATATCCAAGCTGTAATAATGTTGCTCAGCTTCTCATTTTGAGCAATGGTTGAATATACTACCTTCATTCCTTTCCACCATCTTTATATCCTTACATTCATGTGTGGCTGTAAGATCACAATTGAACCTTCTATGTCATGTACACTCAAGCAATGAAAGAAAAAAATTAAAATTTTTAATCTTAGGACTGGAATGATGACATAAAAGGCTGGACAGAGCCTCCTCCTGGCATCACCAGCATCCTATGTGGGTGCTGTTTAAGGCCTGGTGTCTCCACGCTAATGGTCTGGGAAGTCAGTAGAGGAGGGAGCCCAACATGAACACCTGGAAGAAGACCCTTGCTTCAGACTGACCCAGTTCCAGTCACTGAAGCCATTTGGGAACAAGCCAACAGTCGGAATATCTATCTCCTCTTCTCTTTCTGTTACTCTGTATTTCAAATAAAAATAAATCTTTAAATAAATTATAATCCTTCTAGGGCTGTCATTACACAAAAGTGAGTAAAGACACCACCTGTGATGTTGGCATTCCATTTGGGTACCAGTTCATGTTCTGGGTGTTCTACTTCTGATCCACCTCCCTGCTAATCAGCTGGGAAAACTGAGGAAGATGATCCAAGTGTCTGGATCCCAGCCACCAACCTGGTAGACTAGATGAAACTCCAGGAATGTAGTCATGTCTCCCATGATTCTGGTACAAACCCAACTACTTGAGCCATCATCACTGTCACCTAGGGGTATACGTTTGCAGAAAGCTGGAATCAGGAACCACAGCTGGGCATCAAACCCAGGTGCTTAGGTATGGGATGCACATATTTTACTGCTAGGCTGTAAGACTGCTCTTGAAGAAAATATTTTCTAAATTATGATCTTTGTCGTGATCCTTTGAATGGATAAAGCATTGCCAAAACTCTTTTAGACAACTTGAATTTTCTCCAGAATATAATATTTAGCTATACAGTTATACAATCAATAAAGGTCAGTATATAGTTTTGAAGAGAAGTCTCTTCAGTTAATATCAGTAAATACCCAAGTCCACACACTCACTGTAGGATGTTTTTCACCTTATTAGAAGCTGAGCAGGTAACAGTGCTATGTCCTTGGACTTCTCAGTCTCCGGAACTGTTAACAAACCTCTTTATAATTCAAATGGGCAATAGAAAACATACAAATTGCCTCACAGAACTGCCTCTGAATTACTGTTCCACACCAGTGTGAACAAACTGACACTTCCTCTTTATTCCACTAAGTGTTAGGGGTAGCTTGTTATGCAACAAACAATAGCTGCAGCCAGTTACAGGAATGACACCAAGATCCTGGGCAAAAGCTCATCAACTGGATGGATGAGAAAATATTTGCAATCAAATATGCAGTCATATGCTAAAACTATAGACTGGATTTTATAATGGCTATAAAGAAATTATTTAGATCAAAGCTTGATTTTTTTTAATGAGGAGACTGTCTACTTTTTTGCTAGCATAATATAAATGATAAAACTACCCATTAGATTAAATGTTAAACTAAACTGTATTTAATGTACTCTTCAATAAAATGAAGCAATTTTTGGAGAGAGCAATGACAATGAATTATGACCTCCCACATAGTTAAGCACAATTATACAATGGGAAAATTTTTAAATGTTTTCCTATAGGCTTGTTACAGTTGTCAGTGTGGGAATGAAAGCAATAAGAAGGCCATCCTTCAGATATTTGCATAAGAAATCTGGGGAAGATATTTTGACTGTTAGGAAATTTATTTGAGCACATGGAAAGAGCATTTTACTCAGTCAATGATGCCAATATGCTATTCCATTCATCAAGCAGGAGTTCATGCTGACATGGCGGCATTACAACAGACAGATGCACCTACCACAGTAAGCCTCATCAGACCTATCCGAGCAGTCAGGCTTGTAGTCACAGACAAGGTGAGATGCAATACACTTCTTGTTCTGGCACAAAAAATCTGTGGTTTCTGAGCAATTCTCAGAAGTTTCACCCACTAAGGGACAAACCGAAACAAAAGCAGTAATTAGTCAATATTTTCAATACATCTGGAAACTCCTCTTAGCTTTAGTAAAGCTCTCATACTGGTAAGTAACTTATTTTTGCACGTGTCCAAGGTATGTTTATTTTTAAACATTTTTAACTGATTTTCTCTATGTAAGGTGAACAACTTTCAAGTATTTCACAATACAGATTTAGGAGCACAGGGATACTCTTCACCCTACCCTCCCTCCCACCTTGTTCCTCCTATCACCCTTACTCATTTTTTTAAAAAATTTTTACAATGATATACTCTCACTTTACTTCACAATCACAGGCTTAACACTCTGTTAGATAAAGAACTGAACAAACAGAATGTGGGGAAAAAAATATTTAAATGTCATTCATCAAGAGTATAGACAAAGGCTGTAAACAATTATTAAACTTTAGACTATCAAATTTGCTCACATACATGATAATTTCATACTCTGTATATTAGACAACACAAAGCAGGGAAGACATGATATGTGCCTTTTTAGGAATGGCTTATTTTGTAGCGACAGACAGGATTTAAGCCAGGACAATGGTTAGTTGCTTTGGCCTAGGAATTTATTCATCTAAGAATTCCGCTGCTGCACCTGAGAAGAAACAGTCATTTATTTTGTGTTAAAACAAAAAAAAAGGCTACATTCTTTCTAAAATAATAGGGAAATTTTGGAAGAATTTTTGCTTTTCTAGTATAAAACTCATTTCTATATTAAGTCACTGATCATAATTTAAAAAATGTCATATCTGAAAAGACACTCACTGGAAGGGGCTAAAGAAGTACATTTTCACACTTGGCTTTCCTTTTTATATGTGCAGAATCCTATCTCCCTGGGTTGAGAAATCCTCTCTCAAACCTCTCCAGTCCTAGTCCTAGCTCCTATACGACACAGACACCAAGAGTTATGTGCCTAAAATCACAAGGAGAGTAAATGTTGTTAAATTATGGAGAATATGTAAAGTAGCTTTTCAAAAACAAAAACAATACAAAAATACAGCAGCCACCTTTCCTACAAACACTGTGGGTAGGGGGAAAAGGATTAGAGAATTTATATATTTTTTTAAATTTTTATTTGTATTGAAAATAAAAATATTTCTCTATAAATATTGCAAATTTACAGAGAAAGGAAGACACAAAAAGATCTTCAGCTCACTGGTTCATTCCCCAAAGAGCCACAATGATGGAGCTGAACTGATCTGTAGCCAGAGCCAGGAGCTTCCTCCTGACCCCCAATACAGGTTCAATGTCCCAAGACTTTGGGCCATCCTTCACTGCTTTTCCAAGCCATAAGCAAATAGCTACATGGAAAGTGGAGTAGACAGGGGATGAACCAGTGCCCATATGAGATCCTGGTTCCTGGAGATGGAGAATTAGCCAATTGAGCCATCACGCCTGGCCCAATGGTATTTATGTAAAGCAGAATGTTTTGAAGCTGCAGTACTCAGGGAAACAGTAAATGTTGTAACATCACCAAAACCAAAGTCACATTTTTAACTTCCTCAATAGAAGTGTATTTTAATACAAGAGCAGCAGTATAAGTAAATAGTCAGGCTTCTCTCCAGTCCCAGACTGGCCACTAAGTCAAGCAGCGTACAAAATCACAGGAGGCATATCTTTCACAGACAGTCTGTGCCACACAAAGCCATTTTGGAAATCAAATGGTATAATCCCCCTGAAAGAACTGTGCAAGTTTTGAAACTGTGCAAATGTATTCACATGGATTTTTGACATTTTCTGGGAGGTTTCATAAAGAAAAAGTTTAATGCCAGCATACTTCACATTTAGTAGCATCGCAAATGATAGTAAGCCCTTTGCAAGTTGTTATTCACATGGAGAAGTGTGTTTATTAAATATCCTCAGCCCAGCTCTCAGTTCCAGTTCTGCTTGGATTTTAGCCAGCTGGGTTTCTTTTTCATACATGCACTGCCAGGTATACTGCTCAATTTTTAATGAATCTAAATTAGCTAAGGGCATGTAAATATTCAGCTTATCATTTTAAGTCATGATGAAAAGCAAATTCAAAGAATAACATTTCTACATGTTAGAAAGCATATGGAATGAAGAGGGGAGTACTTGTGCAACTAAAAGAGAAACGGCTGTTACAGTCTAAACCTTCACATCTCTTCTGAATTCCTGTGTTGAAATCCTGATCCCCAACAGATCACAGGATCTACTGGGAAGTGATCAGGTCTTGGGGGAGGGGGGATAGCATCCTTATAAATAGAGGATTCTCATAAAACAGACTTGCAGTGGAGGGCATTCATCCTTCCACTCTGGAAACTCATACATTAATGTACAAGAAAGGAGCCCTTTCCAGATACCAAATCTGCCAATGCTATGATTCTGGTTTCCCACCCTCCAGTGTCTGTTGCTTGTAAGGTACTCCATCCATGAGGATGTGTGACAGCAGCTTGAACAGAGTAGCACAGGTGTCATCTTTTACCATGTACTTGTTAATGATTCAGGAACCCACACTTTCTAATTCATTTAAGTCTATACGCAACACAGAACAATTTATAAAGACACAGCAAAGAAAAAGTGGCTGTACTTCCAAAATTAGATATTTTCTAGAAACTTACCCGTCGTGCAATTTTCAAATTCGATATCGTCAACTGCTGCTCCTCCTCCCAGGTCCCTTGTTCTGATGCCTTGAAATATGACTTCAAAATTCCTTAACTTTCCTAGCTTGATGACAGCCTTCTGCCAATGATTACCAGAGTTCTTGCTTTCTTGCCATACTTCCCAGAGATCTTTTTCTGTCTGAGGAAAAGAGGTTTGTATTAGAGAAATAATTAATCATGAAATAATAAGGTACAGATTTATCTAGCATGGAAACACTTGACCAGCGAAAACTGAAAAAAAGAAAAAAAAAAGACATGTGAATTCATTAACGTATTTCCCCAAAGCAATGCTAGCAGTGACAGCAATAAACTCATTCTGGTACATCCAGTGACAGCAATATACTTTATTAACTCAATTAGATTCACTTGTCCTTATATGTGCTTGAAACTCTTGATGTTTGTGAAGACCGCTCAGGTTTCCTGGTTGTTGTTCCGATGGCCTTGGATCCTAAGATGAAGGATTCAGCTTCTTCCATCCCGTGTGGTAGGTCCAAAGGGGGTGGGGAGATGTCCTCTGAGTTCTCAGCCTCTGAAGGCATTCCAGTCCCCCGTGGTCTCTTTGGCAGTTGGGATGTGGTCCTTGGCACCCATACTGATAGCCCTTGGTGGGGATCCGGGAGACTCCAGGTTTGGGATACAAAGCCTTCTCCTATCCACCTGCGCCACTCTGTGGTCCCCCACTGCTCTGTGCACATGACCTCCTGTTAATAGGTTGTCAGGGTCGCTCTTGATTCCTCCTATATGTCTTTGTAGTTTTTCTGTTGTCTAATGTCGTCTTGAATCTATTGTCTACAAGTTACCTGTTATGTGCCTGAGAGGTTACACTACACGGCTTCCTCACACGTTCACAGGAGATGGAAGGTTTCTTTGCTCTCCCACCCGATTTCTGAGTAGTAAAAGGCTTTGAAAATGTATTTGGTTATACAATTTTAAAACACATGGGTTGAGACCATAGTAGGTAGAGGTCCATCGGGGGAGATTTATATCATTGGGAATCTTTAGGGTTGATTCATGTACCCAAAGCCCTGAGGGTTCATCATGGAGCTTTCTAAGCAGCAATCATAGAAAACAAATCCCAGAGCTCCCTGGCCAGGCGGCCAGCAGGCAGAGCCTACCGCCAAATGGCGCACTGGCCGCCCAATACCGGCTCCAGATGCGGACATGGTAGCAGCCACATGCGATCCAGTCATGGGATGCTACTTGTCCTGGGCCTTCCAGCCCCCATGCAGTGATTGAAAGACTACTTCCCCAGGTTCACCTAAGCGGTCTTCAGAAACAGAAGAACAGTTAACTCCCTTCAGGACTAGGGAGAGGAGCTATCTCTGGTTCTTACTTAGCTCCAATTTCGGGTCCCCACCCTCTTTGCAATGATCATGAGGGACGCTCCAGAGCCCCCCTCCCACACATACACACACACACTCACTCACTAATTAGAATGGATAGGCAGAGAACAATAAGGAAGGCTTGGTCAGCAAGGACTCACACACACCTTACTAGATAGGATATGGAGATTAGGTACTCCTCACCAAGGTATGGGAGATTTCTCTGCACACCCTTCCTAAAACTGTTTCGCACCTCAATTGTTAAAATGTCATTGAAATAGTCCCAGGAAGTTGTTAAGACCATGCATCCAATTTTGACAAATTGGTTGCTCAATACTTTGTCAATTTATCTCTTAACGTTATATATTGTTGCTGATGTTATGTTGGGGCTTTTAATTGACCGGGATTCTACTCTGTTGGCTCTGCCTTCGGACCGGTGAGGGTCTCCCCAAGACGCTGCTGAACTTGACCGGACAATGAGATGCTGGACTCTATGCTTGATGTATGCTTGCAATGAAGGAATCTCAACTAAACCTGAACTGTGGTTGTGCAACGGGAGGAGGGGGGGAGGAACCCACCATAGGGGGAGGGTTGGCAGAGGTGTGGGGAGAATCCCAGTGCCTATATTGAACTGTGTCACATAATACAATAAATTTTAAAAAAAAAGAAATTCTTGATGTTTGATGGAATCTGAACCATTTACCAAAAGCTCTGGGGAAACATTTCTCTATTTCCCCAATCTAAGTTCCATTTGTCTATATTTCTTAACTACTGAGGTTTAAATCAGCAGAACAGGAAAGAGGAAAGTAAAAAGAGGTATGTGGCAGACATCATCTGTCTGATGGGATACGACAAAGGCACCGTGAAACGAATTGAGCACAGGGAAAATGATCACTCCCACGATAAGTCACATCTTAAAGATTTTATCAATGCACAATTATTTTATGTGAACAGTGAAAAAATTGTTTTTTATGAATGAGAACTCTACAATGTTATTCAAACAAAAACAATTAAAAACTTATACAAATATCTCTTGTGAATGTCTAACATTGATCAATCAGTAAAATAGCATTCCAATAGATGGGCAGTCTCAGTATAATATACCATACCATGTATAAAATTCTATTTCAGTTAGTTTCCACATCTGACTCAGAAAAAAAAATCACCATGGTGATTGGCTGCATGTTCTATATTAGGCAGACTTTTCTGTATCATTATAGAAGAATTGTAACTTATAAAGCTGATTCAGGTTTCCAATCAACATGGACCGTGCAGTCACAACTATTTAGACATTATGTATGAGCACTTTGGTATTTGGGTCAAGCATTTCCCATCAAGGACTCGGCATTTCACTTTAAGTGGCAATAGATTTGACAGTATGTTTAAAATCAGCTTTCTTGGAATATCAACTAGATTCTTAGAATGAACACTCACACATACACACCTTTTTTGTTACATCTGAGTAAATATATTTGAATCAAAATCACTGATACTAATAATTTGGTATATTGATCCCACACTGTCATTTTGTTATGCTAAATTTAAGTTCTGACAGAAGCATCCAAATAATTTGCCAAAAGAAACACATCACTGTGTTGGTTAACACCTTGATCCTTCTCCGGAGTGGTTCAGTCCTTTACATTGTTTGCTTAGAACCATAATGCCTACTATTAGTATCCATAATGATTGCTCACACAGAGAAAAGTAGATAGGTACTCTCCATTCAGATGTACAAGTCATCTATCTTATTTTAACTGAAAAGGTTAGTGAAGTGAGGATCCACATTGAGTAAGGACACACGACTCAGACGTATCAAGAAAAGAGACTGGGCATTCAGTAATAATCACAGAATAGGAGAGTAAACTCAACAGGTGTCCAAGTACCAATTTGTCAAACCCCACAGAGCATTTGAATCACTACAGCAGTTCCTTCCCAGCAAACAGGCTTCTGTTGGCCAAGGGTTATAATTAATTATAGTTTATTATGACATCACAAACAGCTTATTATTTAGCATCACAAAGATCCTACCTTAATGAGCACATGAATGGATCCTGTGGCTTTGGTGGATATGAAATACCAAAAATTCAGGGTGCAGGCTGCGCTGGACTCTTGCCACACTGGACTTCTGAGGTGTGCTTTCTCCCCACGCAGACCCATTGGGGTAGCTTCCAGATAAATGAAGTGTCCTAGGAATAACAATGGAATACAGACAAGGCAAAATGAGATTATTTTTAAGTTTGCCCATGCTAGTATTTTTAATTACATTCTATAGGATCTGAGCTGCCAAAAATATTTCTCTTAGAATCAGAAAAAAAATAATAATATCCCTCTCTAGTTCACTGATGGCATTCTTTCCAAAAGTCTACTTTCAGCAAATCTCTTTACACTATGCAGATGGCCTAATTAACAGCATATTCATGTCAACAAAATAGTGATAGAAATCATTTAATGGTTTCTAACTAGTGAGTTCAAACAATGAAGTTTTCCCAAGAAATCAGTATAGGTACATGAATGTTTTCAAAAATTCAGTTACCTATTGAATGTGCAAGCAGACCAGAGAATTTTAACATCTAATACAAAAGGAAAATTGACTTTTATTCTTAGATTTCAAGATAACCAACATTTTCCTGTGTGTATCTGAAAATCTGAATGAGATTTAGGTCATCCTTACTCTGGCTTGGTCACCTCTTCGAGTTTTCTGCGTTTTTTTTTTTTTTTTGCCAAGTCTCTGAAATATCATTTTTCTTTTTATTTTTCTTAAATCTGTGTATTACTCCCATTTTGCAACATTCAAGTTTCCCTTGTTCATCCAGCTAATGTCCTGCTTCCTTGGACATAGGGTTTCATCCTTGACCTCAACTACTAACTACAAAAATGATCCATGCCTAACATCCATAACTTATATAGTCTTACAGTTACATTATGCATTTGTATATTCCCAAGGTCTTCCCCATTATGGACTGAATTGTGGACCCACACAAAATGCCTGAGCTCTAAACTTAGTCCTTATGAAAGTGATCTTATTTGGAAAGAAAATGCATTTACTGATGATTGAACTGAAGCAAACTAGAGAAGACCCTTACTCACTATGGCACTGCCTTAATAAAAAGGTCGAGGTGAGTGCAGAAAAGAATGCATTCACAGCAAGAAGAAAATGTGAAGTCATACAGAAAACCACAAACTACAAGTCAAGGAGGATGAGACCTACAATACCTGGCAACAGGCAAGGAGACAGTGACTTCCATGGCTTTCAGAAAGAACCAACCCTTACTAACACCTTGCTCTCAAACTTCTAGCCTCCAAAGCTGTAAGAGAATCAGTATCTTGGAGCCGCTCAATCCACAGCCCTTTGTTATGGAAACCCTGGGAAACAATCTTCATTGGATATTTGACTGATCTGCTCTGTGGTCATGGGTGTCCTCTGGAGTTCTTTAGCTAGCAGGATGGGGCTGAGTGGGGGGATAACGTGAAGCTCATTGTGAATATGATTAAAGCAACTCTACCAACCCAATATCCTACCATTTTCATTTCCAAGTGTGTGGTCTTCGGGAGGCCTCAGGCTTTGATGAGAACCAACCCCTAATACCCAATCAAAGTTTTCAGCCAGGGAGTTCTGCCAGCCACACCAGCCGTCTTCAAAAGTACAGGAACCACCACATTCATTTTCATCTGTGTTGTCTCCACAATCATCTACAAAATTACAACTTTGTTTCTGTTTATAACATTTGCCATTTTGACACTCCTGGTACCCATATGGACAGTAACCTAAAAAAAGAAAAACATGAGGAAATTCAATGAGGTGAAACGTCAGTAAGAATACATTCACTTACTATGTAAAGGAACTGAGTGTTCTTAGGAATTTGAAGCATTAGGGCACTAGTTCTCCTAATGCATTCTAGAGTTCTCGAATGGATAATTCCGAAATGGAAAAAAAAGGTATCACTTTAATGATTTAGGAAAGTAACCCAAGTCCCTTAGCAGCATTTTTTACCAGGTGTGTTAAGAATATAGATTATACCTAAGAGTCAAGGTGAGTCATTTCGTTTTTTACTCTGATATAAAATCTTTAGGGTTACTAACAGCACATGTATTATGGGATATTTGGAATACAATGTGTTAGGATTTATTTATCCAAGTGTTTATCAGAAGCCAAACATATAATATACTTTCCCAGGAGCAGGAACAGAAATATATAACCAATAACCATCTTTCCAGGAGCTTGTTCTCCAGAACTATTTATCTGTTTGCTCTTTGGATTGTTAAAAACAATTTCCCTGAAGACCAATGTCAACCACAGAGATTTATTCACAAAACAAAACAAAACAATGCTTCCAATGACTGAATTTTTAACTGAAGTTCTATTTATTCTTTATTTGATGTGGACTGTGCTAGTACCTGATGAGCTTCAATCTTCTTATCTAAAAGGGAAGGGGATCTGGGTGGGAGTAGCAAAACCCTAGAAAAATTAAACTAATGAAACTGACTATTGTACCTAGCATTTATGCTTTGAACAGTGCCTAGTCCTTAGTAGGTACTCTGTAAATACTAATCAAAAATTTTCAAAGTGTGATATAAAGTGCCTTGGAAGTAACAAATAGTTCAATATACACACTGAGGTATTATCACTGCATTGCTCCAATGATACAACATAGCAGAGTCATTGATGGGTAATGTTACTTAAAACAGGGAAATCATCAACAAACCCATCTAGTGACATCAGCTTCACACTTGTTCTCTGACACTAATGGATCAGACTTTTTCCTCCTTCCTTCCTTCCTTCCCTTTTCCTTCTGCCAGTTGCTTCGTTTTAGCAGTGGCACTTCTCAAGCTTGAGGCATATGGCTTCACGGCTGAAGGCTGGTGTGGATCAGACACTGTGGGTGATGTTTCAGGTATTTATTGGATGGTGTTCTGGGAACTGGAAACTCCTTGTGACAAAACTTCAAATAGAAGAGCTTATGTCCTGAATCATTGCACATTTTAGACAGATATGGTAAGGATGGAAGTAGATGAGTGGGATGCCAAAAAAAAAAAAAAGAAAAAGAAAAAGAAAACCCTAACAGGGAAGAAATGTACATTCTGAAACCCAAAAGCTACTCTGTGCACTGTGCTATTCCTGGACTACTGATTTGCATTTGCCTATTTAATGGAATCTCCCTTTATAAGGTCTTTGGAAATAAGTTTTAGCCATGTAGTCTACCTCTAATGAAACTTTTTTGCCTGAGTTATTTGTTAACCTTTTTCTCAGTGTGACACCTAACTTCCTTCAGTTAGGTGCCCAGTTCAGTATTAACACAAGGGCATGGGGAGACACAGAAGATCGAGCTCACTGACAATCATTAACATTAAAGTATTTTGAGCTTACACACAGGACACTGACACTTTCATTTACAGATGGGAAAACAGAAGATTAGAGATGCTTAATGACGTAAATTTTTTAAACACAGAGATAAAATTTGGACCACTACCATTTTCAGAATCTTTTTAAAGGTTTATTTAATATCATTGTAAATACAAATTACAGAGACAGAGAGAGAGAAAGATCTTCCATCTGTTGGTTCACTCTCCAAACGGCCGCAATGTCCAGTGCTGAGCTGCGCTAAAGCCAAGAGATACCTGGCTGCCTGTGAATTCTGTTACCTTGTTCAGTTTATAGCCCTTAGTTACTGCTGATTTGGAAGCTCTTTTCCATCTCCTTTAGTGGATTATAAATATAAGTGTTGTGTTAGCAACTGCAATCTGAAAAGTTCCTTCTTGCAGAAGTACGGGGGTAATAACCAGATGCCTGTTTCTTTTCCCTGAGAATCAGTGTCCCGTGCATCTCTGGATTTCTATCAGCCAGGGTACACATGTTTGTGGAATACACAGGAAAGTCATGAACACTCCAAAACGGATATTCTTCAGTAGTGTGACCAATTCTAGCAGGAAGTAAACTCTGGACCATGAATTCACTAGCTAGAATCTCAAGGTCAAATCTAGCCCATTATCTGTTTAAATAAAGTCTTCCTGTACTTTAGCTATGCCTACCAGGTGCATGTGGCTATTTTGACATCATAATGGATGAGTAGAGCAGAGCAACTGCATCAGAGATTACATGGTCCACAGGCTCAAAGCATTAACTTTTGGGAACATTACAAATAAATTTTTCTGATTTCTGTCCTGAATCAACACTGTAAAACTTAAAAACAAGCTTCAAATGTACTGAAGAGAAGCATAGGCAATTAACGCCATCAAGATCAAGGTGTAACATTTTTCAGCAATACAGTGGTCTGGTTCACACCACCATCACTTCAAACTCATGCTATCTGCAGCTAAGAATTTCTCAGCACCATTAATGACTTCTAGAACAAGCATCATATATTCAGCCTGATGCTTGCCAAAATACTGCTACGCAGTATGTGACTCTGCAAGGAAAGTACCCACTATATATTTTCTGAATGTGAACAGTAAAACATTCTTGACTGAACAAAGAGACAAACACAAACCAGTGAGTGGGCATGAACCTTTTAGGTGGTGGTTGACTTGAATATGAGTAGGCAGTTTGGTGGTTGGACAAGAATGACAATGGCAGGGCTGTGTGCAATGGCTGAAAACACTAAGATAATGACATAAAGACAATCAGCTATGACCCATAGTAACTATGGCAAACAATGTTGACTTCTTTCTTCTGTTGTAAATATTGACAGAAACTACTATTTGCTCAAAATATGCAAGTCTAATACTTTAAATCAAGATCTCCCTATTATGTGCTTAGAGAGAATTCTAGTCATACTACCACTTTAGTGTTGTGATATATTTTCAATTCTGTAACAAGGGAATTTGTAAGACTTGGTGATCTGGTTAAAACTAGCTATATTCAATGATACTGAAGCAATTGAAGCAATTATCTAATACTAAAGGGAAAATTAAGAGTAAATTATATTCTAACAGAAGCAAAACTAATCCACATTATCTGTATGCATCAATATCACTTGTTTGTGTAGTATATGTTTGAATTAGTTGGGATAAGTTATATTTGAATTTAATTTTGTTCACATTCTTGTGTGTGTGTGTGTGTATGTATCATAAACAAAATTCTTTTAGCAGGATCAGGACACAAACTTCCTTTTTATGTTCAATTATGTAAATTTGTTTTTCATTGGTATATGTATGAAATGCATTACATATTTGTAAATAATTATATACACATACTTTTTACAAATCTAGGCATTCCATGCATATATTTGTGAAATTATTATATGTATACATTGCACATATATAAAACAATTTAAATGATTTAAGGTTTTGGGCCTGGTGGGATAGTGTAGTAACTTACTGCCTATTGTTATGCTCAGTGAAACAGGACATTCCAATAGGCCAAATATCATATGTTCTCCCTGATACAAGACAATCTTCGTACAAAATACAAGATCAATAGATACACAGGTAAACGTATATATAAACATTTATCTAAAAGAACTGTATAATGGAGGCAAGTATACCACGAAGTGAAGATACACTGCAGTATGAACCTTTACTTCTGAATAAAAGATGGACTCCCAATGAAACTGTTAAATATATTTGACACTAGAATGCTGGACTTTCCATCATTGCCTATACTTACAGTGTCATGATACAGTTAAACAGAATGATGGAAATATGCAGAATATATTATCTCTACATTCCATGACCTTATAATTCTATTAAGTGACTCACATATGAAACATAAAATAAACAATAAATACTGTTCATCATTAATATGAATGCAAGATTAATGGTGTTTGTTCCTCAGTAGTTTCTGGGTCCCAGTAAGCTGCTGCTACCCAATGGACACACTAACTTGAAGTCATCCCTGAACAAAACTGAGAAATTCCACTACAAGATCCCGATGAAAAAAAAGGTTTTCTGCAATTGCTGAAGAAAGGAGTAAAGGAACCCTAAGGACATGTCTGTGGGCTTCTCAGGAGGAAGACACATCTGTGGGACCAAGTCACTTTTTCTCTTCAGTCTGCTATCTTCACCTAAAGAGGAAAACATTGCATCTGAATGACTCCAACTCAACTTGGGAATACCGCAGAACACTGCTACCTGGAAGATTCTTTGGATTCGAAAGTTTTCACTAGCAGGAAAATGATTGTTTCTCAAAGGCAATGCTCCTGGTAGACCTCATGGGGCAATAGAAAGTTCAGTATCTAAAAAAAGGATCTTTCCTTTGCCATAGTTTTCAGTGTAGTCATCAGTAAGAAACACCTGTAACCCAGAGAAACCTTGTACAGTTTATTCTCCAGAGAAGAGTTTCTGAAGCAGCTGTCTGCCCTGCTGTATACCAACTGGGATCACATTTAATTTGGGGCAAATTCTCTGTTTAATTCATGGTAAAAACTCTACATGAGACAAATATTTTAATGTGAAAATACCTTTTTGATAGTGTGGGGGGCATAGAACAATTTGGTTTTCTTTTCCTGCTTCTAGGATCAACCTGTATATCTCAGCACATGTTACTTAAAACTTGACTTTGATTTTAATGTCTATGAAAGGCCTCAGATTTTACACGACCTGCATTTCCATCAATGCAGGTAGAAGACACAAGCTTCATGCACTACATATGAGGGCAATTTTTTTTTGCAGCCTCCTTTTCCATTGGTGGTATGAAGGAACATGAATGGCACCAGAATACACATCAAACTGCATGGTAGGGGAGTAACCCTAGGGTAGAAGTTATCACCATGATCTAAAGCAGTTAGCAAGCCTGTACCTTGCATGGCAGTGAGATGAGTTTGTATATT